CCACACACACACACACGTATGTTCTCCGCACTCAGCTTCGCGTCGGTGGATCCGGCCGCGCCGAAGGCGGAGGCGCCGGCTGGCAGCCAGCAGCCCTCGGCCGGCGGCGCCGTTAACCAGCAGCCCCATGGCGGCGGTGCCAGCAGCCCTGGCAATCCCCCGGCGGAGGGCGCCTTTTCCGGGTTTTCCTTTGCCCTGGGCCCCGGGCCGTCGGGCCCCGGGGGCGGGATGGCCCCTCCGCGCCGGGCACGCGCCGCCCTTGCCGGCGATGATTCCGACGAGTCGGGCGACGAGGCCGACGAGGGCGGCCGGCGGCGGCCCAATCGCCGAGACCCCACGAAGGACCTCGGCCGGGCGCAGACCATCTCGGCCTTCAGCTCCGGGCGCGGCGTGTCGCAGGATGGCAGCCTCCTCACGGATGCCGACGCCCCGCTGGTCATTTCGCTCCCCCCGCCGCGGCCCGGCGGCATCGAGCAGGTGCGTCCCCATGGCCGGCCCTCCTTCCTCTCGGCCCTTCACCCAATCGGCACCTGACCTCCGCTGCCCTCCCCCGCTGCACATGCCACCCCTTGTGGCTGGCCGCGTGAAATCGCAGATGATGCGCGATGCCCTGGCCCGCGGCCCGGACGTCAAGGCCACCCGAGCCGAGGCCCTCTCCGAGAAGGAGGCCCTCGACCGAGACCTGTCCCTGCTGCCAGAGCCCGCCTCCATGCGCACGTACGACGAGGTGCCGGTGGAGGAGTTTGGCGCGGCGCTCCTACGCGGCATGGGCTGGACCGGTGGTGCGGCTATCGGTCGGAAAAACTACAGCACCCTGTGCGCCTGTCGTTCCCTGTCCCTTTCTCTCTCTCTCTCTCTCCATTCTCCTGTTTATGCCGATCGTTCAGCTGACCCTGTGTGTCTGTATGCGTATGCATGTGCGTGTGTGTGTGTGCGTGTGTGTGTGCGTGTGTGCATGCGTGCGCGCGATCTCCATCCCAAAGGGCCCAGCCACCGCAGCCGGCCGAGGCAAAGCCCCGGCCCTCGCGGCTCGGCCTCGGGGCCTCGCATGCCCTTGGCAAGGATGAGGAAGGCCGCCTGTTGCAGGCATCCCGGAGTGCAACATCAACCGGGACTTCCTCCGCCACATCCACCTCGGGCGCCGGCAGCAGTCCCGAGCGCCGCGCCCGGCATGGAGACGAGGATCGTGGACGTGATCGCGATCGGAGCCAAGGTCGAGAGCATGAGCACCATCGCAATCGCGACCAAGATTCCCACCGCGCCCATGACCGTGGCCAGGATCCTCGTCGAGACCATGGCCGGGACCGTCATGAACGCAGCCGTGACCGCGACCGCAGCCGTGACCGCGACCGCAGCCGTGACCGCAGTCACGACCGAGATCACGATCGGGATCATGGCCGCAGTCGGGATTACAATCGCGACCGGAATTCAAGCCGTGATCGAGACCATGCTCGTGGCCGGGACTACGATCGCGGTCGGGAGTATGATCGCGGTCGGGACTACGATCGCGGCCGGGAGCATGATCGTGGCCGGGATCGCGACAGGGAGCAACGCGATTCGGACCGCCGGCGACACGACCGTAGTCGTAGCCCCGGGGACCGACACCGCCGCCGGCCCTCTCCCGCCGGTCGGGGAGACCGCCGCGGTCGCCACGGATGACCGGTGCCCTTTGAGACCAACCAAAAATAGACCCCTCCCCTCGGGAGAAACAAGACAAAAAGGAAGCAACGAAGCACAACAGACAGTCATTGTTGGGCAGGA